CACTCTTTCTCTTTTCTTCATGGAATAAACTTTTTTTCTGAGTTACGATAAATAACCATATGGAACTTAAGTCTGCATTTCTGGACAAATACTAGGGGGAAAGAAGTAGGTATTCAAATTCATTCTTTTGCAGGAGGCTATCCAGTTGTCCCAGCAGGTGGAAAGACTGTTTAAACAGTCTTGGCACCTCTTGTCAAAAAACAGTTGGCTGTAAATACATGGGTTTATTTCTAGACTCTCAGTTTAACTCCATTGATCTGTATTTCTCTCCTTCTGCCATTATCACAGTGGGGTTTTTTTTTGAGGGAGAGGTTTTTGCTATGGGGGTGTGCGGCTGCAGGGAGAGAGATAGACAGCAAGAAATCACCTCCTGGGGGAATAGCCACGGTTCAATCCTGTCTCCTCTATTCCTCTCTTGGGATTTTGGGCATGCAAACACACATGCCCAGCATGAGTTTGAAGCTGCCGGGTCTAGATCTTGAACTGTGGTCAGCCATGTGGGAATCTAGCAACGTAACCATTACTCACCTGCAGGTCCCCACAGTATCTTGGTTACTGTAACTTTGTAATAAGTTTCAAAACTGATAGGTGTGCGTTCTTAATTTCACCTTCAGAATGTTCCTTGCCAGTATATAGAAGCAGAACTTTTTAACATATTGGTCTTATATTCTATTGAACTCATTTATTAGTGCCATTAGTTTTACATATGTTTGCATGGATTCTTCCAAGATCATGTTACCTGCAAATACAGGTAGTTTTACTTCATTTTCTGTTTGGTGCTTTTTATTTGTCTTGCTAAGGGCTGGCTAGAACTTCCAGTACAATGTTGAATGACACAGTGAGAACAGAACAAAACTTACATGATCTTAGATGAAAGGTTTTATGTTTTTGCCCTTAATTATGATGTTAGCTATTGTTTTATTTTTTAATAGATTCCTTTACCAAATTGAGGAAGTTTCCTTTTGTTCCTAGTTTGATTAGTCTTTGTATCATTAAAAAGTGTTGGGTTTTATCCAATGCATTTTCTGCATCAGTTGTGATAATCACGTTCGTCCCTCATCTAGTTAATACAGTGTATCATATGGGTTGATTTTCATAGATTGAACCAACCTTTTGTTCCTGGTATAAATCTCACTCATTCACAGTATATATACATTTTTTCACATTCCTGGATTGACTTGTTAGCATTTTGAGCATTTTGAGCATGTTGCTTGTCTTTATTTGTAAAGCATTTTTTTTAGTTTGCCAGAGGGTGTGTACAACCCTCTCCCATGGTCACACCACAATTCCTTCTCTATTTTTCCCTCATTTTGGGATTTGGGGAATGCATGCACACAGGTCCATATTTTTCCTTTTTTTTTTTTTTTTTTTTTTTTTTTTGAGAGGTTTTTGCTATAGGGCGAGTGTGCTCACCAGAAAGACAGAGAGAGACAGAGAGATA